CAGGCTTACAGAAGCCATCACCTATACATAATTGAAAGATGGCTTAACAAAAATCAGGTACTCTACCCCAAAGGACCTGTATTAGGTTTTTGTTCTGGTCATCCAGTATACCCACGATCCTGTGTACGAACACTCCAAAGAAAGGAAAGATGGCTTCGTGAGGGGCTACAAGTGAAAGCTAATGAGATACCGGCAAAGGTTTTATTTGCACATAAATCTTTTGTGTGTCTGCATTATTATTTTTGATTGTCCTCAACTCTGCAAGTACCATAATCTGCGAGTTTACGCTCAGGTTCTGAAGCGTTCCGGAAAGCAGAACAAAGGACAGGATGTTGAAGATGATGATTATGGCGAGGGAGATTGTGAAGGAACTGTCGCTCTCTATGGACAGTGGCAAACTGAACCACTGTTTCTTCCTCCTGCAGTAAATGGCATTGTACCTAAGGTGAAGCCTTCTACGTGATACACATGTTGATAAAGTTGAGATTTATTTGGGATTTGACATTTTATGCTAAATTATAAGCTATAAGAAAATAAGATCTATATTTTCTTAGGAACCATGCTTAGATAGACTCTTTTCCGCTTTTCCCATCTGAGAATCTCGATCTGCTCTAAGTGGGTGCATGCTAGAATCTTATGATAGTTTGATTGTTCAAAAGATTGTCTATTTTCCCTTTGCATCTTCAACTTTCCAAAAGCCCAGAGCTGCATCAATCCTATTTCGGGTTCAGAGCCTCTCCAGTAAGGATCCCTTTAACCCTTTCACAACATCATGTAAAGCTCTGGATTTCTTTTGACAGATCCATAGCATGTAAACCTTGTTTATCCATCTAGTTTATGCATCTTTCATATAGCTAATTCTCATATCTCTGTATTCTCTCCTGCTTAAGAATATTTCGTTTTCAATAACGCGTTACAGACAGAGGCATCTGCCATTATTTGAGTTGGGACAGATTTAATGTCTGCTGAACTTTCCATGATCTTATGTCTTAGCTACTGGTAGTTCCATTATCATTATTCCCTGTGCCTTGGGATTTCTCTCCCAGCTAAGATAATTTATTTTCCCTTTGCTTCTTGACCTTATAAACATGATGAAAAACAACTTTAGGACTTTGGAGATTAAACACTTAAATGACATAGATAAGTTATTGTGCCCATATAAGAGAATAGATTTTATAGAATTTCAATAATTTGTTAGTTATTGTTCCCATATAAGAGAATAGATTTTATAGAATTTCAATATTGTTTATAGTTAAAGGCAATATGTTAACATCCTTTAGGTGGTGCTTAATTACTCCAATTGTTCATTTGCAATTCAGACCTTTGAAATCTCTTCTTGCTAGAAATGTTGATTAAACCGATCTTAGGTTCGTTTGTTGGCTTCTTGAGATGGTTTTACAGAGCAGTTGCTTGAGAAGGTTATCTGTCCCTGTTCACACATTCTACATGTTATGTTTATATGTGCTTCTTTTCATACATGTAGCAGATAGAATAATTGGTTACAACATTTAGCTCAGTTTTTTTATTTGTTTACCGATCTTGTCTTTATGGTTGTTTTTGGCTAGAATGTGACAGTTGCTGTTTTTTTCCTAGAATGAGCGTGGTCAAGTGGATGTCTGGTCTGAGAAGTGCCTTCCACCTGGTACAGTCCATTTGAGATTGCCAAGGTTGGTTCCTATCGCAAAAAGGCTGCAAATAGATTTTTCACCTGCTATGGTTGGATTTGAATTCCGGAATGGTCGATCTCTACCTGTTTATGAGGGGATTGTGGTGTGTACCGAGTTCAAGGATGCAATTCTTGAGGTAATTAAATTGCATAACTGTAATATATTTCCATTGCTTGGTTACATATCTTTGAGGTCTCCCCCACCAATCATGTTTTCGTTCTTCATTCCTCAAAACGTTTTCGTTCAAATGCTATCAAATATGTCCAAAACCATTACTGCATTTGAAGCAACCCGGTAGAACTAATGTTGAATTCGTTGAGATGTTATCAGGCATATGCAGAAGAAGAGGTGAGAAGAGAGGCCAAAGAGCGGAGGAGGACTGAAGCAGAAGCTCTTTCTAGGTGGTATCAGCTTCTTTCATCGCTTATTACTCGACAGAGGCTGCATAATCGTTACGTAGACGGGGCATCCTCACAATCAGCAGTCAATATTGCAACGTCCAACGAAAAATCCTCCTTACTAGCTGGTGGCAGTGAGAACACGAGGAGCGCTCATCAAGAAAAATCTGAGGTTGCCAAGTCTAATACTCCATCATTTGTACTTGCAGAAAACCATGAGCATGTTTTCCTAGTAGAAGATCAGACTGTTGATGAAGAAAGTTCAACAAGGACGAAACGATGTTGTTGTGGCTTTTCAGTTCAATATGAGGAGTTGTAGAGCTTTTAATCTCTCAATTTTAGTATGAGAAGTTAGAGAACTTTTTATTCTCTTATTTTGCCTCATGCAAAGTTGGGTTGTAAGTTGAAGTTGATAAAAATACTAATGTATGATTGTATGTAACATCAGATCATGACAACAATCTGTCTTTTGTATAATATCGGTTTGGGATGAACTTAACTAGTAAGTGAAGATTCATATATCTGACCTCGACTTACTTTGAATCGAGACGTCGTCATCGTGTATGAACCATGTGTATGCTTCCTACTATATTGTCCTAAAAAGGACAATTTTTTTGCAGTTTAAGTTACTTATTGTTTCAACTTCAACCAAATATTATCCTTTTATGGGAAGGATAAAAGTAAAAGAAATACTTTTTGGAATAAGTAACTGTTACAACAATGTAGAACATTCCTACAAGAAGTTACAACCATGAATTTGTTGTAATAAATCAAGATTCCAAACTCAAGTGGGGACCTTAAGCACCTTTGATAAAGACATTACCAATTCATAGGAAATTTTAGAAGATAAAAGAGATAATGTCTTGGACAAAGACTATCTAGATTTTTTTTTTGTACATATGATGTTTTTGGTTCACATAACATGTCACAAATCCACTTTCCCACTGTCTCCATTTATATATCAATCCCTTATCCACTTTCACCTTCACTTCCAGCACACACTCACTTTATCAGTCACCATCAAACACCACAACTGAATTTATCAACATAAAGAAAAGGTTCACTTGTATAATTTTGTTAATAAAATGACGTATCTCAACCTCAAAAGCTAGCTCATAGAATTAGAATTGTTGACAACTATGTGAGAAGACAACAATCTATTTGGAGAGTTGACAACAACATCGGGCCCAATATAGTTAAACTAAGAATAAGAATCGAGCGTGGTTCTAATACCACGTCGAGAAAATAAAGTAAATCTAACTCAACTTCAAAAATTAGCTCATAAAATGAAGATTGTCCGGACTACATATATAAAAAGACAACAATCCATTCCCTTAGCCAATGTAGGACACTTCAATGGATGATAATAGGATTAAGCATTGAACAACAAGTACATCCTTTTCTAACAAGAACTACAAATAAAACATCAACCAAGAAAAAGAAGAAGACTGATACCTACCTAAATCATATATTATTATAAGTGAGAAGCTCCAAAATGAAAAGTTAAATTACCATTTTATCTCTACACTAAATATAAATTTAATCATATATCTTAATAAATAATAATATTTTAATTATATAAAGATAACATTAAAAGTCCAGCAACTATAATTTTAAAATATAAAACTTATTAATAATCATATGCATTGAACCGGATAAGCAATACATGGTTCATCTGACAGTAATTATTATAGTAGCAAATTTCCTTAATATTAATTAGAATACAACCTTTTCACATTCCAACATTTATTAGTTTGATTGAATCTTCTACATGTTATATTTGTTCATCTATCAATACTTATTATAGCATAATATTATCTTAATATGTAGTAATTTAGAATACAATGTTTTCTCAACAAAACATTTTCTTGTGTAATTTTTGTTCATTCTTTTTCTTAGTTTTTTTGTACTTGCAATGTATAAAATCTCATAACAATGGTTGTACGTAGCTGCTGTTTGGAAGTTGGAAAGAACATTGTATCATACTTTAAGTCTTTTCTTCTCCAATAATAAAACTTTTAATTTTCTTTAGTTACCTAACTTAATTGATAATGAATGATCTTATCTATTCCATTAAATTATGCTCAATGATCAACTTATATAAATGAATTCATAAATCAAGAATATGTACAACTCTCTCCATTAGGGGAAGCAGTAGAGGAAAGATTTTAAAGAGTAAGTTCATTTTTCAGCTTTGTTATTTTCTGTGAACGTGTTCGTAAAAATATATTTTTCTTGTTTATATAATATTTTATGAGTTTTAAGTTTTATAAATTATCAATGTTTCTTATATTCATGTTTATGAGTTAAAATCAAACTGATGTAACATAGAAGTGTTAGAGATTGACTTTTGATCCTCTTATATGTCATACCTTTACCATTAGCTTTGAGTCTTTGCTTAGCTTGAAGTTGTTTGAAACTTTAATTTTTGATACCTTAAATTTGCTGAAGTTGGTAAAAAAGGAGTGGATAAATGAAATAGAATAGGTATTCATATATAATGTTTTGGTGATAAATGTTTATTAATGTTTTCCTAATTATATAATTAAAGTGGATGAATGAAACTACTCTAACCGTTGAAATCGGTAATCAAACAACAAATGGAATACACATCAAGAACATTACTTATGAAAGAGTATCATGTAATATATCAATACATTAAATGTTGCTCAAAATATAATTCATTATACATTTTACCTATCTAGATAAATTTAGTTGTTTAATTTTGTATTTTCAAATAATATTTAATTATCTAATATTGTTCAATGAAGAAGTCATTTGAATATATTTTAGCTTGTACTTTTTCACTTTATTCTATTATTCATTACAATGTATTTTTGATATGATTTATTTTATATGAACTACTTGTATGAAACACACGTGCGAAGAACGTGTCCAGAAACTAGTAAGAAGAAAAAACACAGCACAAGTACACAACAAAGCCAAATGAAGTAATAAGATCCCACAAATTTTCAATGTGAATCTTGAATCAACAAGAATTAAACAAGTACACACTCTTCTAACAATCTATATTTCTCAGCTACAAGAACTACACACAAATCACTACAAATACAACATCAACCAAGAAAAACTTGAGACATAACAGAGTCATAAAGAGTCATCACCATCAACAAAGTCCACAAATCTTCAGCTTCACTCTACACCATTTTGTGCTGGCTGTGGCTTAACCTTCCTATCTACTGTGAATCTTGAATCAGTACAGGCTTTCCTAACAATCTACATTGCACAGCTAAAAGAAACACATCTCGTTACAACTACAACATCAACCAAGAAAACTTAAAACATAACAGAGTTATAAAAGTCATCACCATCAACCAAGTCCGCGAATTTTTCAGCTTCACTCTAAACCATTTTGTGGTGGCTGTGGCCTAATCTTCCTAGGCCTACCTCTAGGCCTTCCTGTTTTCGAAACAGGAGCTAAGTCACTAGGGACACTTGTTGGTTTTGGTTTCTTGGAAGTAGGTGGTGCATTGGGGTCTTTTTTCGGGCGACCTCTTGGCTTTGGAGCTGCAATTTCTGTTCCTTGTGGCAATGTTGTTTTGGGTTTTGGTGGTCGGCCGCGGCCACGCTTAGGGGGTGCATCTGGACCAGGTTTAATGTAGTTGTTTTTTAGGAAAAGAAGTTCACCAGTTTGTTTCATTCTATCCAAATGGTAAGTTAGCAACTTTGAGTGTGCATCATTCATGTTTCCATACTTAGATTCAATGTACTTTGATATTGATGACTTGTTTGAGCCTTCTTTTTGTTGCAATGTATCAAGGGCTTCATAAATCATCTGATAATTAAAACCAACATCCCAAAAGTTGAATTTTTTTTTTGTAATGAAATAAACAATTAAAAAAAAAAGACAGACATGCTGATCTGTGTTTTTTTTTAAAAAAAAAAAGCATTCTTGATGATCATGTGATCATGTGGGAGCCATTAAAGAAGTAAAAAAGCAAAAAATTAAGAACTAGACAAAAGTTGTTCCTGTTTCTTTAATAAACTGTTCTTTATTTTCTCTTTTTCCAAAGTTTTCTTGGGATTCCAAATTTCATTTTTGGCACTAACAAATGCAAGAATCTACATTTTTGAAAGGCCAAAATTAAAAAAAAAATCCAGTTGTACTGCACAAAAAGTTACAATTTTGCTTGAAGAAAAATGACTACTTCTTGTTTTTCTTCCTTCTTAGTTATCAAAGATTAAATCTTTCTTCTAAAACCAATAGGAACCTTAAGTGAAACACTAGAAAGGAATCAATTTGAGCTAAAAAAAAAAACAAAAACTTGCTAGAAAGCAAGAAACTTTGTACTCTCTCAATTTCAATTTATTTGTATGGTTTTGATTTGTCAGAAAAAAAAATTTAAATTTTTTTTCGAATCTTTCTTTGTCTTGTTTTGATTTGACATGAAGTTTAAAAAAATTAAAAACTTCCGAATCTTGTAGTCTTAAACTAAAGATAGTAGAATGTCTTAAATATACGGCGTAAAAAATTAAAATTAAAGAGTTGTCAAAACTGGGAAAAAAACATTCTTTTTAAACTAGCACTTAAGTTTCTGAAACATGCATACTTCATGTAAAACTAAACAAAGAAAGGATTAGAATTCATGAAGAAAACATTAAAAAAACGTTTTTTCTCCAATTTCTTCAAAAGTTCAAATCTTTCTACTAAAACCAAGAAAAAAAAACAACACCCCATCTGATATAATGTGAAAAAGGGTCAAATTTTTGAGAAAAGAACGAAATTAGAACATGATTTTTAGCAGAAAAAAAATTAAAGAAAATTAAAGGGGTCAAAGTGAAAATATGAAAAGTTGGTATTTTTTTTTACCTGAGGGTATTCAGGATGAATCTTGTTGACAAATTCAGTAGCCATTGAAACTTGCAGAGAGAGAAAGAGAGAAATGTCCCCACAAAGAGATGGAGAGAGAGAGGACAATGTCAGCTTCAAAAGCACAGTGAATAATTTGCTACTATACTAGTACTAAAGAAATTAAAAAAATAGAAAGAGCTTATCCACAAAGAAATTCAAATAAAAAAATACCCTTCCTTTCAATTTAATCGTCTTACTTTTTCCTGATCGGTCCTAAAAAGATACTTATTTTTATATGGGGTCAAGTCTAACCAATTCCGATTGGTTACCGAGTTTTCTTTTTGGAGGGGGGGGGTCCGAGCGGGGTAGTCCAGGTAACCGGTTCAGGAGTGACGTGACACTATTGGATTGGACGGGGCCACAGGTAGTCCAACTAAGACTGTGTGGGTCCAGCTTTGTGATGAATCCAGCCCAATCCTGGCCCCTTCCATAGTTTTAATATTCTACCTGATAAGTTTAAGATCACAATTTAAATGATTACATCATAAGTTCCATTTTTCTTAATATAAGCTTTTAAATTTCGTGTTCAGTAAAATTAAAACACTTAAATTAAGACGGAGGAAGTATAGAGAAGGAAAAAGATGTTAGTAATTTTTAGAACGATGCGAAAAATCCAAATCTGGAGAAGGGCCGGTGGGGGCATTTGGAAAAGTCGGGGCCGATCGGGTGTGTTCATTCCAGGAGGTGATGAGAGGCTTAAGATTCATGCATTGGACAAAAATCCAACTGTTGTAAATCTTTATTACAAAGGATAGATAACTTGGATTTTCCTTTGTCTTTGTTGTAGCATTGAACTGAGCTTTATCTGTCATAGAACTAAGTAACAATAAATTTATCAGAAATCTGCTTTGTATAAGAAGAAAATAAAGTGTTGCTTTAGACTTTTTATACATTCATAAAAATATCAATGATCCAAAGATACAAACAAGTTACATAGCATGAAAGGATGAAAATCATTTTGGGATTTTTTTTTCTAATGTAAGTAGAGCTTATGAACTATTTTTTTTCACAGGACGAATATTGATTAGTCCCTTCATCTAGATATCTACAGTATTGAGTTACGGGCACCTTCTAATATGTCCTGTTGTTGTCATCTTGGCTCTCTACGTCCCCTGGTGACACTCCGTCCACCATGAACCTCCAGCTATCTCCCTCTCCTATTTCCCATTGTCTTTTCAATTCAAGAATGGTTTTCGATGCAGCAGCTGCAATGGCAGGGTTGTCATCTTCTGCTAGTCTCTATGGACACATAACAAAGCCTACCGTTATTTTTAGTGTTGAATAGTTTCAATAAGAGAAAGTGTAGTTCATGGAAATGGCATGATAAGACATCAGTTCTCTGTACAAATTACCTGTAACGCTCCCATGCCAGCGTTTCCTAAACTCCACATGGACGGTGCAGCTGAGAGTGCATTTGCCAATGCTTTCCTATACGATGAAATTTACAGGTGTTCGAGTCATAGATAGATCTAAAATGACTAATACTGTATCAATCAAAACAAGTAAAAGACAAATAAAACAAATGAGGATAGTAAAACGCCTTTATCTTCGTCTCAAGATGATACAGATCTGATCTTTAGGAGCCTCGTAAGTTACTCCCTCCGTTTCAATTTGTTTGTCTTACTTTCCTTTTCAGTCCGTTTCAAAAAGAACGTCTCTTTCCTTTTTATTGGCAACTCTTTGATTTCAACGTTCCACATGACATGTTTAAGAACACAAGATTAAATGACATTTTGGTACATTCTACTACGTATCTTTAGTTTGAGACACAAGATTCCAAAGTTTTCTTTGCTTTCTTAAATGCCGTGCCAAGTCAAAACCATACAAACAAATTGAAATGTCTCAGTATCATCCAAAACAAAGTGCAGTTGATTTTAAGGAGTAGAAACATTATTTTGGGAGGCTCGAGTACGAAATACGTGAGGTTTAATTGCATAGATTAGATATGATAGCGCGAAATAGTATACAACGGGGTCTAATTCATTTCATAGAAATGTCAAAAGAGGGTGAAAAAGCTAACCTTGTATTTACATCAGGAGAACTTGAACACTCAGCCAGCAAGGATACACTACTTTTACCATCCATTGCATCAAGATCTATAAGCGTTGCTACCAACAGCTCGAGCTGCTCGAATCAGGAAATTTATAAAAGAAATGAGATGTGGAAGAGAGCATTAATACATCAAAGGTAATCAGACGTAGTCATTATTATCCATTTAAGTTTTTTTAAGTAGGGACCTCTTCTGGATCAGTATAGTCAATTCCATCAGCTTCGGAAAGTGCAGATGCTATATCCCAATATGCTTCCTGCAGGTATTAACATATAATTATACATATCGGAAGTATTCATTTACTTCATTAGAACTTTGAAAGTAGACAAGGCTCGATACCTGGATAGCAGTGAGGCGATCAGATGAAACTTCCCCGGGAAGAAATTCCAGAGTTTTCCCATTCTTCTCAAGTGTAATATGCCTTGTTTTCTCTGTATCTATGGAACTTCTTTTCCTGAACAGAGGACGGATACCAGTACGGAGCAGAGATGAAGATTTAAAGTCAGATCAATTGTATTATTTTTTCCCGTTATTACTGCTAGGATGCAAAATGAACTTACAATTTGCACATCTTGCTCACCATCCTATCATGAATGTTCTTGACAAACTGCAAAACCACAAAACAAACACAAGAAACCATGAAGAAAAAAGAAATATAGAGCAATGAGCGCAGTCATTGATAGAACGGAGGAAGTAAATAAACATATCTTCGTACAACACATAATATGAAAGATCAATTCCATTTTATGCAATTACCATACCTCCAGAGCCATCAGAGAATCCTCCATTGCGCGCTGTTTTGCCACAAAGTCGGCACGTCTTAAATCAGCCTGATTATTGGGAAAAAACAGCTGCTTTTAGATTATCTATATTAGCCACCAAATAATTTTAATGAACCTATGTGCGTGCAAAGCAACGTAAATTTATAGCAAAGACAGTGATGTCGTCAACAAGCTGCTATCTGCTCTCGAAGTTCTGAATCAGTAGCAGGAGCCAAGCAGATCAATACAGATTTGAACTTTTGAGTTATCAATGAAAATGCTAAACACAATACATGTCTAATCCATTAATAACCTTGTTGAACACAATGTGCCTTGTACTAGGAAAAGTTGCAGCATTTTGAGGTGAAAACATGTTCTGCTAGTTTTAGTCTGATTGTATCGAACATCACTTCCACACTCAGTTTAGGTCCCCTGACTCATAAATTAGATCTTCGGTTTCATGTGCTTCTCGATGCATTACATCTTCGATCACATGTACCTCAGCTTCAATACGTTCATTTTGGAATTAAATACTACTAATAGATAAGGCTTAAAAACTTGCAATTTGTCTGTACTCCAACGTTTATAACATTTTGGTGCATTTTGTATCTCCAATAAGAAGCCCATATCTATCTGGAGACTGGGATTATGCAATTACCTCTCTAATGGGCGGTCTACTTGGTGGAGCCATTAAAATGCTTCATCTTAGTCAAGTTAAATTACAACATGGCAAATTTTTTATTTTAATTCTTCAAGAAAATGATTCGCTCCACTTTGCCTCCAGCTACCTTAGGGAACAAGTGAAGAAATGCACTGCACGAATTTATACGGCACAAATGAAAAAATTCACCTCCAAGGCACCATCGCTCCAGTGTCGATCAGCAGCTTTCTTCAGTCTCGTTTGAGCTATGTTTTTAAGAATCTGCCAAGCACAATTAATAAGCATTCACAATAAAAAGATGGTGATGGAATATCTTATGGTAGATAATTATATTACAACTCTCTTACAGTGGCAACATGATGGATTCTTTCAGCTCTTTTCTTGACATCATGATCAACTTTCTCAGTATCTTCCCGTGCCCGAGCTAATTGAAGAAAGAAAAGAAAACGGATCAATCAGAAACTCAGGAGTGTATCACCAACATCAAATGACAAAAGTTATTATCCAAATGCTATTGTCAACTATCTCCGTCACGAATACCACTATCCAAGCAACATTCATCAAAGTACTGAACTTTGGTTCCCAGCATGAAAATTGCAAATAGCCAGTTGAATATGATTCTTTTATCATAGTGTCAAAGCTTGAGAATCGGGCAAAGAATTTTACCATCAAGCTTAAGAAACTCTGAACCAAGAAATGCAACATCTTGGCGCGCACGGGCATCCATTCTCATTATTTGCCTGTTGTATTTGACATGAAGCTAATGTATCATATTTCATTTGATAAAGTAGTTTTCGAAGATGATGTATAGAGGTATTTGACAAATATTGGAATATATGATGATGGAGCCGACGAGAAGACAGTTTGAGGTAGCAAAAATCAAACAAACACTATCTCAATGTGTTGTGATCACCAATTATCTCTCAGTGTTCGATTGTTCAACGAATTATATAGTCTCTAAAATTTGCTAGGCAGAGAATAATGAGAACATTTAGACAGTTGCAGAACATTCAGATTGATTCTACAGTATAGTCAACTGTATCAAAATCTCATTTCTAATAACGAGCCAGTCCTCTTCCTTCTACCTAAGTGGAGGCTCACAAATTATATCCTCATATCTTGACCCCAATTCAAACCTAAATATACAACAAATGACAAAATGTTATTTCTTTTTCAATAAAAAAGCTGGGAAAAAATCTGGTGAGGACTATAATCAAGTTTTTAGACCTCTCTGAGGTTTTTCTGGGGTGTATAAAGTACTCCCACTATTCCATTTTACGTGACACTATTTCTGTTTAAAAAATAACAGCTTTCTAGATTTCTGAACTTTCTCATTTTACCCTTAATGGAATGTTTTTATAGCCTCAATAATTATTTTAAACTGATACAAGACTTGAATAAATAATGCATAAAATGTCAGGCATATATTGTACCGAGAAAGCAGCACAATATCATTCTTCGCCCTTTCATTCACAAATTTGGCATCGTTGTAAGCAAATTTACAAGCTTCCGCAATTGCCTGACTTGAAGGAATAACTTTCCCAACTGTGGTTGCTTGATCATTTTCTTGTACACTGCAAAAATATAGTCCAGAGATGAACTAAAATTACAA